AATTAGGGACGGCTAGCGCAGATAGCCCTCGTGTAGCTTTGCGCGAAATCCATAACAAACAAACAAACTGACCACCTTAAAACTTAAAGAATTAAATAATGGTCGTCCGTAAATTTGTTACGTGTGAGTTGGCTGTGGGTTGTCTAGAAAAAGACTTCAAATGTTCTTGACATGACTTTCGTTAAAAATTTTAAATTGTTATTTCTCTTAAAAATGTTAAGGTTTTAATAAATATCATTTACCGAATTTTAAAAACAGTCTTCGCTGTTTGTAGTAGATATTTTAGTCCTAGTATTAAAGGTTGTGAATAACATTGGTCTTTGAGACAATCAACAAGAGAACTCATGTGCAACATTAATTACACGGATGAGAATGAGGATCTGAAGAAGCATGATGAAGACGAGGCAGACACAGAATGTCTCGTGGATCCTCGCGTATCCCAACAAACAAATTCACAGTTCCTGTTGTATCAGACGTAAGAGCTTTAACTAACAACTGGACTGAAAGATCTCAAGTTTCAAGGATAACCTGAATCAGGCTGCTTCGTTTAAGTTTCATAAGGATAGCCTAAATCAGACTACTTTGTTCAAAACCAATACATTGTTTGAAAACATGGTGGTTAAAGATATTTCAAGTTTTAGAAGGATATCCTGAATCAGACTGCTTTGTTCAAAACCATTACATTGTTAGAAAATACTGTAGGTAAAGAGATTTCAAGTTTTAAAAGGGTAACCTGAATCAGACTGCTTTTTTATAAATCGCTACATTGTTTAAAAATACGGTAGTTAAAAAAATATTTTAATTTTCAGAAGGATAACCTGAATTAGACTGCTTAGATCAAAAGCATCACATAGTTTGAAAATACTGTAGTTAAAGAGATTTCAATTGCTTGAAGGATAACCTGAATCAAAACTGTTACATTTGAAAATACTGTAGTTCAAGAGATTTCAAGTGAAAAAGGCAATCTGAATCAGACTGCTTTGGTCAAAAGCATTACATTATTTTAAAATAGAGAAATTTTTTACTCCAACAGTATATCATAAGTCGCACGATAATGAAAATAAATTGTACTTTATTAACAAATAAAGTTTAAATCTATTGTTGTATTGTTTCAATATTAAATGCAATAAATGTGTTTAAAAAGAAAATAAACCTTAATAAGAAGAGAGGGTATTAATTTTCCGAGGGTGATGCTTACACCAAATTTTCAAGCGTCACAAGTGGTGGAGAAGAATGAAAATAGCGTCATTTAATTTATAAACGGCCCCTAACGTGTCAAAAATTTTAATCAATATTTGTGGAAAAAATGTCTGTTATTGCTATTGTTACACAACGTGTGAAGACTAGTGACTAGTCGCTTCAGTTTGGGTGCTTGTGTTTTTATTAGTTCTAAAAACATATCGTTTAGAAATTATCAGTAAACTAAATAATCTTGCTGCGAAAGTTTAATTAATAATTACTAACACCTTTATTCGTTTAATATGATATATTATAGAATAGTTTTAAAGATTTAGCACAAGTTTTAGGATTAAGGGTTTCACTCTTTCTTCAAGCAGAAGGAGTAGTCATAGCAACAAGCAACGAAAATAATAGTTTCTTTTGTCAACTCAAAATTAAAGAAGAACAGTTAAATTGTGTATATTGAGCAGTAGCTTTTCAAGGACTTTCGTTTACTATCAAAACATACAACTGTTCCTTAAATGAGTGCGTTGCTCTTCAAAATGCTAATATCTGATTGGAGCAGATCATATTTTTGTCAAGAAAAACGACACAGTAATAATTATGGGTGTGAAATATTGTTACGTCTCTGGTCGTTAGTTAATTTCCCATATACTTTCTTTCCGATGAAACTTTAGTGATACAAGTCCTTTCTTAAATAAAACTAGTTTATTCTTTCTCAATACAACTTTGCAATACACGCTATAACTTAAACAAACACTATAATTCACAACGAATGCGCTTGACTCAATTGTCGTCCCTATCTCTGTCTGCAATTCAATTCCATTGTTGCCGTCACTTCTTGGCGGTCTTATATATAAGAATACCGCATATCTAGTAAACACTCGAGGCTTCACAAAGGGACAGGAATTTTCTAGAAGGCTATGACGTGTTACTAGCGTCACGTGACTTCCGCTGTCGTAACAATATTCATACACAATTCTACAAACCCACAGTATACTCTATAGTAAGCATAGCACTTAAGGTGTAAAAATAAAGCTGACTCTATACTTATTCAAAAAATAATATGTGAGGTAAAAGCAATCAATTACAGGACATGGAGCAATTTCATCAAATGGATTTGTTTGTTTGTTTTTTAGAGCAAAGCCACATCAAGCTATCTGTTGTGTTTACCGTGGAGAATTGAACCCCGGATTTTAGTGTTATAAGTGCCTAAACTTATCATTGTGACAACGGGGGACCCATGAAATGGACGATGTGAATGAGACATAGAGGTTCATCAAACAAGCTGATGTAACTCATTTGGTGTCAAAGCTAACACATGGAAGTATTTAAAGTGTGGGGCATTTTTTCTAGTACATTTGCTTTTCATGTTAACGAATTTCATCACGTGACATATTTCGCGATTCTTGAAAATGGCGACCATTAACGCAAAATGTGTATGCCTCACTCCAGGTTTTCATTATTCTACAATAATCATGAAAACACCAGGATAGAGGGCTACGGCAGATTAATTTGTGTAACGCCAATAAAGAAAATCATGGAAGTCTAATGATAGGGTTAAGGTGTCCTTTTTTTCCATCACTGTATGTCCTATATTCTCATGTAAATGGATTTCATATTTTAGCCACTGCAAAACTTAAGGAAAATGTACAAACTTATAATTAATAAAGTAGTATGAGTTTGATTGTCTTTCTGAACACAAACTTGTCTGTTCTTATTTGGTTGAGTTTTTTTTTTTTGTATACCAGACGTGACACAGCTGTTAGTATGTCGAGCTCCGTACCATTAGGCTCAAAGTTCGCGTTTCATTGTCACTAAACGCGTTATAAAAGTAACAGTAAATCCCATTATTCAGTTCAAACAGGACAAAGCCTTTGTGACGCTGACTATTGCTAACTAGTTGCTTTCCCTCTGGTCAATAGTTTAAAATTTGGAACGACCATACCGTTTAGATCATGTATCGTGTATATAATGCTAGTTTAAATATTCATATGGACTGTTGAATTTATTAAGTTCTCTAGAATCCCTTGCGAGATAGCTTTCGCCATACACAGTTACAGCTCCGAAGATATCATATCTCAAATAAATCAACAAACTCTCTATAACAAGCGAAAAATAATTTTAATGTCCTTGGGGTCAAAAACTCTCTTCCTTCAAATAAACCATGTCCTACTCAAGCTTAATTCCATCACTTGTTTCCTTCTTTGAAAGCTGCTGCTGAGTGGTCCTACGTGTTCATACAAGACTATCTTCAATCCGTTCAGGACAAAAGAGGCATATCATTATTTAAAGCGGCCAGTACTGTTACATTATTTGTCTCAATGGTATCATTGACGTCACAAATGATGTAACACTTTTGTGAACTACCGGTGATGTGTCATGAAGCTTCTTTATCGTTTTATTAACTTATTTGATTAATTTCATCATTTCTTCTTGTGACTGATCTTTTTTTTTTTCTAGCGTGAAAATATAATATTTTCTGATTATTTACTATTTTCACGACTAAGTGTTTATAATAACCCTCTGTTTATAAATAAAAGAACTGGTTTAGTGCATTTAAGTATAGTCACAGAATAATGCTTGGAGACGGCTTGAATGGGTAAAGAAAAAAAAACTTTAATATAAATTTAACATAACAGCAAATGTACAACGTTTCGACAAGGTTTTGTTATCATCAGGCTCATTCAAGCCGTCTCCAAGCATTATTAGTCTCAAAGTGGGTTCCTCGTCATCGAATTTGAATAGTCACAGAAAGTTAGCACAGATATAAATGTATTGCAATTACGGCATTATGCAAATAATTAAAATGTAATCTATAATAATAAAAGGGCGTGTCTGTGTGACCGCCATAACTCCAAGAGGAAAGAATCTAGAAACGTGAAATTTTGCACACATACCAAGTGGATTCCGAGGGGTGTGCACCTAAGTATTATTACTTATCTTATCCATGTGCGCATCTTTTTAATGAGGCAAGCTAGCAAAAAACCACATGGAAAAGAAGTGGTTCCTTATATAACAACTTCTAATATATATAAAAGCCACTGCGTTTTAGTAACAATGCGTTCCAACTATGCCTTTTATTTCATGTTGCTTAGCAAAAAAAGTATAACCTAATATTGTTGTTAAGAGGCTATGTGTTGAAAGTATAAAATGAAATGTACAAACTCAAAAATTGAAAATATATTTGTTGTTTTCTAACTTAGAGGCTCCGTAAATTAAAGAGGTTTGTTTTTTATTATTTAAGTTTAAAATCGGAAGGTTACCTTTATAAACAGACAACATCCCGTAAAGGATATACAAAAGTATATAGGTTATTCTTTTATGCTAAAATGGGTTCAGAATACACACACTGACATCGGCACCTAGAATAAATCAACCTAATAATCCGAGCGAAACCGGTACTTTCGCTAGTTATAAATATTTGCTATTTTGCATAGCATATTGCCATGATATGGACATTTCAGTGAGGGCTTCTTCTTGAAGGACGTAATTAAGTATGTGTTCAGATCCAGCTTTTGATACTGAAGACAAGCGGTGCAATCTACAATAAAACCATAAGATGGCGTTGTTATGGATTTCAATGCTTGATCATTCTTGATGGCGTGACCTTGGATCTGTCCTTTGGGCTTGATTTAGTGATATGGGTCTTTCCTTATTTTCGATATACAAAGTACTTTGTTATGTTTAGTTTTAGAGATTGTTGAATATGCCATAAATAATTCATTTCTTTCTTTTATCGTACTGGATACACTAGATATTGCTTTGTGGCCTATATTAGCTTATGGTTCTTTTATGAAAATGTTTATTGAAACTTACAAAAATTGCTTAAAGTATTTAGCATTTGTGATAGTAAAATCAGAATGTTGTACAGTATCCTTCTTGTTTGATTTTGCATGTTTTTTTTTATTTCTTGAATTCCCACCCCACCCGATTTTCTTCTGTCTTCTTTTCTATTTATTTTCCGTTCTTTCAACCTCTCGGCCGGGACAAATATGCAATATTCAACTGGACTTCGGTCCTCAAGAACATCACTAACGTATGTAACATGTAGTTTCTTTTCAACTTTTTATGTCATTAAATTCAGACGAGCAGGGTGAAGCCAGCACCGAAGAAAGGCATATCACTGTTCAAGGTAACAGTTTTCTTTTCATTTTTTATTATAATAGGTTTATTATATCAGTTTGTAATTATATCAACCAATACTTGAGACATAAATTATTTTGAAGTGTGATTCCAATGTTCATTGTAAACAAAAAATGCTTTTCTATTTACGATCTTGCTCTTCTGTTGGTAAGTTTCAATTTCTGAAGATTTACCACATTAAACATTTATTATTTGATTTTTCTGAGACGGTTGACCTGATTTTAAAATATCGTAAAGACTCTGGTAAAATTAATATTACATTAACTTCCTCTGTTTATGTATAATATGTAAAATTGGTAGAAAAGAATAACATAAAATGTCAAAAAATACTATTTGTTTGTCTTTCAGAGGTTGTATTAAATATGTACAAATTGAAACATCAAGTGTCGAGTTGTTAAGTTGATAAAATGTTCCTAATCACCACTTGACAGTTTAACTTCACATGGGACATTTGTGTAAAATCTCCAGCTGGATATCATAAATTCGTTTTTACATATTTTTAATTTAAGCCTTTTTAACTTATGAACTTTTCTCAACTCAGCTCGTTCTTCTTATGCCAGTGATATTTTCACAACAGAAAAATAATTAAATTTAATACCCAGAATAGCAAAATAAAATATTTCAGAAAGCAATCAGCCGAAGTATGGGACTTGTTGGAGAGTGACGTACGATTATAGAAAGTTTATATTAAAATATTATATATTTCAAAGCTAGACAGAAAAAAGTTTCCAGTAAATTTACTTTTGTGTATATAACAGGTCGTACTGTAACTGTAAGAAACTTTTACGGAAAGTTTATATTGAAATTTTATACATTTCAGAATTGGACCAAAAATGACACTAACTAAGCTTTTGCATTTGTATACATTTAGCAACTTTCTTTATCTTCCTGTTTATGGTTTAAATAATCTTAGAATATATATATACAGTTATAAGGGTTTTTGCTCATTGTTATCTATTAGATAAATACAAACAGGTAATAACAGCAATCGTTTGTTTTTCTTTTTTAAACGTGTCTAATTTCAAGTGATGTCGTAATTTTTACATGAATTTGTCTGTGAACTTATGCCCCTAGAAATCGGGTTTCGATACCCGTGGTGGGCAGAGCATAGATAGCCCTTTGTGTAGCTTTGTGCTTAATAACAACAACAACAACATGAATTTGTATTGACAGTATAACATATCATAACAGGTCTAATTTTAAATGACGTATTGTTTTTCACTATGTATTTATATTAATAGCATAAATTATTCCATATTCTTATTAGAACACTATTCTTTTATTAAAATAGTATTTTTATCTTTTTATTAAAATTACTAATTTTTTACTTTATGTAAGAAATTTTATGAGAATATATATTATAGGTTTTAACTTATCCAGATTTATATATTTTTTCTTTAAATTATATTTTTCATTTGTACATTTAGTACTAGTTAAAGCGAATCAATTCATTATATATACAAAACATGAAATAGCACTTAGATATACATATACTAATAACATTCCATTGGATAATATATAACTAAACCTACACTATGCGGTTTAAAATATATTATATTTGGTTATTGGTATACATTGGTACACATCTCAGTTCAGATATGGTATATTGTTTACTTTCTGTTTCTGTATTCATATTTAGGGGACGTCATGACATTTCATTAAAAGTAGTTAATTGTTCAATCGTTGATGTTATGATAGAATCTTTAAACATAAAAGTATAAATCGAATATCATTCGTTTATGTGCGAACTTAACAGGTATGCTACTGATTTAATGTTTAGGGGACGTCATGACATTTCATTAAAAGTAGTTAATTGTTCAATCGTTGATGTTATGATAGAATCTTTAAACATAAAAGTATAAATCGAATATCATTCGTTTATGTGCGAACTTAACAGGTATGCTACTGATTTAATGTTTAGATATTGTGTAACGAATTTCTTATCAATATTTATTTAATATCGACGTTTGTTTAGATTAAATTTATATTTAGAAACATACATAGCTTATATTGTTAAATATGTATTGCGAAACTCCCGCCTATTCTCCAGTATTGTAGAAGATTCTCGAGAGTAAGAATCAACAATATATGTATGTACGTAAACGCTTAAATGTAGCTCAGTATTGTTACGTAAAACTGAAATTTCGAGAAAGCCTCCACACGCCTATAAATATAACCAACGCGACGCGCTACATGAGGAATATCTATTATTAGTTTGCTATAGTCAGTGTGCTATAAATTTCGGAAGCTATAACTGTGATTGTTATAACGCTTATCAATCGAAAAACTTCAGATATTTGACCAGGAGCATTTACAAAGTCCAAACATTACAAATCATTCGACATCAGTGGATTCACATCAGACATTAGTAATTTTATGAAAACATTACCTAACGTCACCGGTAGGAAAACTCGGCGTGTGTGGCTGGTGAATAACGAAGGGCAAAGCTTGCTGGCTTACTGTTTAGTGAATTATACCCACGTCAACTCGTAACTAAATCACTCATCAAAGATGTTCCAGACTAGAAAGAAGACTTTATATTGCTTGTAAGTTTGTGAAACTTTTGTTTATGAATCATTGTTTGTAATAACTATTTGTAATAACTGTTATTGTAAAGTGTATTGTTGTATGTATATTAAAACGAATTTGTGTTAAAAAAGAAAACTGTGTGTATCAGTCTTGTTGGCAAATATCATGAACTGACTATATATGGACTTTTACTTAACTGCTAAATCTAAAGTACAATTTAACTACTAAATTTAAAGTATCATTTAGCTCGGTTGCAGACAATTTTAAATTCTCAATACATAACATAATAAACTGGGGGCTCGTGTCCGAGATTTGGATCAGAAATAAAATTCGATCTAAGTTATAATTTAAATCGTAATTGGATTTATATTTATCAGTGCCAACAAGATTTGATCATGTCGGATTATCAATATTTTCTTGTATCACCTTCCCTAGAACAACTAGAAAAATATAACAAAAGTGAATTACTCGAAATTGCCAAAATTTTAGAACTAGAAGTTAAAAAGTCAATGAGAAAAAATGAACTAAAAAGCATATTATCGAAATACTAGTTGACGATGATTTATAGCCTGAGGAAGCATTAGAGGAATATTCTAGTGTCCCTAATAGCCAATCGGGGTCGAATGATAAAGATAAATTAGAGATCCAGCTAAAGTTCAAACAACTCGAGCTCGAACAATCTCGTATCGAGGCCGAGAGAGAACAAGCTCGTATCGAAGCCGAGACGGAACAAGCTCGAATTGACACCGAGAAAGAACAAGCTCGTATTGAAGCTGAAAGAGAAAATAAACGTCTCGAAGCCGAAAAAGCTCGCATTGAAGCCGAAAAAGAAATTAGGCTGAAAGAAATGGAAATTAGACTCAACACTGATCAACCAAGGTAAAATGACAACTTTGAACTTAATCGATATGTTAAAGTACTACTGTTCAATGAAAATGAAGTTGATAAATATTTCCAACATTTTGAGAAGGTTGCTCAAATCATGGAATGATCCACCGAAAAATGGTCATTAGTATTACAAATTGTCTTAACTGTAAAGCACAAGAAGCTTATGCCACTCTTTCTTTAGAAGATTGTACGAATTATGATAAGGTTAAAGTGGCTGTTCTCAAAGCCTACGAGTTAGTACCAGAGGCTTATTGCCAAAAGTTTCGAGGTTATTGTAAGCAAGATAATCAAATTTATATGGAATTTGCCCACGAAAAAGAGGCTTATTTTGATCGATGGTGTAATTCTATGCATATTGGCAATAGTTTCGACAAACTAAGACAACTATGCCTTATTGGAAAAAGTAACTTCTGTAAAGCCAGAGTTGTTTACTTAGGTCATGTAGTAGGCCATGGTCAAGTTTCTCCAATTCAAGCTAAAGTTGATTGTATTATGAATTATCCAACTCCTACCAATAAGAAAAAAATTGATGAGGTTTTTGGAATAGCTAGTTATCAGAGGAAGTTTTGTAAAAATTTTGCTGACATCACGATGAATGAGTTAATTACGAGTTGACGTGGGTATAATTCAGGGAGCTGGCTAGCTTTGTCCTTCGTTATTCACACGCCGAGTTTTGTTACCGGTGACGTTAGGTAATGTTTTCATAAAAGTACTAATATTCGATGTGAATCCACTGGATTTGAATGATTTTTAATGTTCGAACTTTGTAAATGCTTCTGGTCAAATATCTGAAGTTCTCCGATTAAAAGCATTATAATAATCACAGTTATTGCTTCGGAAGTTTATAGCACACTGACTATAGCAAACTAATAATAGATACTCCTTCTTTAGCGCATCGCATTCGTTATATTTATAGGCGTATGGAGGCCTTCTAGAAAATTCAGATTATGTAACGATACAATGCTATATTTAAGCATTTACATACATACATATCTTGTTGATTCTTACTCTCGAGAATCTTCTACGATATAGGAGAATAGGCGGGAGTTTCGCAATACATATTTAACAGTATAAGCTATGCATGTTTCTAAATATAAATTTAATCTAAACAAACGTCCATATTAAAATAAATATATAATAACAAATTCGTTACAATTGTTAAACCTATTTTAAAACAATAAAAACGCTATAATCCAAGCGCTTTCGAAAGATGTACTTTTCTTCTTCAGGGGTATACCCATTTTGTCATTTATTCAAGATATGTCTTTCAAATGCAATGTTATTTTTGGTTAACATTCAGAATATTAACCCGTCACTTCAAAGAGATCTTTATAATATAATATGATAAAGATATCCATGAAAACTAAATATGTAAATAGTAATTTACAAATTCTTTGTTTTAAATTTTTAGATATGGTACAAACTGAAGCATTTTCATTCAAAGTGTATATCCTTAGACCTCAGATAAAATAACATCTTATCCCCTGATATTTTTGTTTGTTTTATCTTAATTCTAATATATCTAACATATAGGTGTTGCTTAAAAAATTAATTTGCACTGATAAAGAATGAATTATATCGAATAACAGTAACTTTGAGCACAGTATGCAGAATCTGAAAAATATTTGTACACCCATATCAACTTTCTAATTCACTTAACACTTTGGGTAGGTCCAAACAGCAAAACAGCTGTTATTTTGCATTTCTGGCATTCAGGCTTTATTTATACTACAAACAACAACTTTAAATAAAACCATCAAGACACATGATAGTGTGTCTTGCGGCCAAAAAAAAGAAAAAAACCCGCAGGACACACTTTGTGTTATTAACAGGAATGACAGGTTAGCGATTTTCCACTTTTTTTTTTAATTTTGCGCAAAGCTATACGAGAACTATCTGCGCTAGAGGGAAGGCGGCTAGTCATCACCACCCACCGCCAACTCTTGGGCTACTCTTTTACCAACGAATACTGGGATTGACCGTCACGTTATAACGCCCCCACGGCTGAAAGGGCGAGCATGTTTGGTGTGACAGGGATTCGAACCTGCGACCCTCAGATTGCGAGTCGAGCGCCCTAACCACCTGAACATGCCGGGCCTCCACTTTTTGTATCTCGGACTACAACAACCCAAACCATCATATATTTTCAGAGGATGTGCTCTCTTAAATTCTTACTTCACATACCAAATTTTAAGGCAATCCATTAAGAAAATACCTGAGATATAACATCTCCAATTTTGATTGAGTTTCTTCCTATTTTTTCTTCGCGCTAAAAGTACGGAAAATTTATTTGATACTTAACTTTTATGAATTTTTTTCAAATTTGGTACACTGATAGATCTTTTCAACCTACAATTAAGAGTTTCATTTGGTGTAAATATAAGCCACATGTACAAAGTTATTCAACAAAAATCTGCTCAAATTTGATGAAAAGTTTTGCTACATGCCTATGCAAAAAGTCATGCGAGCTATCAGTCTAACATTTTTACTGCAGTTTCACCTTAGAGTAAAAGTAGACCGTTTTTAGTTTTTTTGTCATTCGGATTAAAGACGGCTTATTAAGAGCAGCAAAACTATAAGGTGAAAGGACATGAGTGTTGGTTAGGCTAAACAAACTAAATTAGGAGTTTCCAGCTCGAGTTATCAAAAGAATCATACGGGTGGACGGTTATTGTTGAATATTCATTGCCAACTTTTCAGCACAAATTTACAAAATTTTATGAATTTATCCTAATTAAAGAGTGTTTAGCGTTACCTAATACTTGCTTACGCAGTTAACATAAATAATGATGCTTGATACGGCTGTACCAATTACATGGGGTGATGACGAGAAACTGTTAATCTAAATTCCATGGCGTTACTATAAAGGAAGCTATTAACACTGCTTCAGAGAGGAAAAACTACCATATGTTCAAGAACTATATGTTCAAGAATCTCGTTGGTTCTGTAAATTAAAGGTCTGTTCCGAATAACAGGGTTGCGATCCTAAAGCTAATGTTTGTTACTATCGAGTATCACTTTCTTAATTGCTGTGGATTGTTGGTTTGTATTGAAAAACGTCATGATCAACTTTGGGCATGATGGTGAGTAGATCGAAATACGCGGCCTAGCTAACTAATAAGTGAATATTTGCGGTATAATTCTTATCAACACTATAAATGTAGCTACCAGTTTGTCTGCCAATTGTGATTTAATTCCTTTCAGTCGCACGCTTAATCCTTTTTGGTCGCACATTTTTTTCACACCTAAGGTGCTTTTGATTAAAAAAATTTAAATAAATATATAAATAACAGAAAAACTTATAAAGTTCATAGATTAAGAATGCACAGACGAAAACTCAAAGAGACTACTAACTGGGTAAAGTTATGCTTATAGGTTAAAAAACCAACAACAAAAAAACGATAAAAGAGTGTAATGTATTTATTTGTTTTTATTAATATCACATATTAAAAATGGCGTTTTTGGTTTTTAAAAAGATAATCGTGATCATCAACCATGGAGAGAGTTACAGTTTCCTAAAATTCGGAGTGAAATTAAAGCTACAGAACCAAGTCCTAAAGAAGAAGGTGAGGATACTCTGACCAGAAAAGCAAGAGCAATGTTTCTCAATTCGAGATATTCGATTGTGTAGATAAGCTCAGGATGACGTCATAGTAGGAAAAAACCTTATATTTTAATTGAGTTCCACTTCACGTGATACATAAAACTAAACGCTTTAGTCATTAGAAGGAAAATAACACGATGCATAAGAGTAATGAATCCAGGGCGATAAGGCTAATTAAAGCTCAGTCACCTTTTCGATGGTAATCCTAATAGCTTATAACACTGAATATGACGTTCGATCCCTGTGGTAGGTGGACATAATGTATATAGCCCATTGTGCAGCTTTGATAACCTCTTTATACAAACCGCTGGAAAATTTAATTTTACGTGCTTTTTGCGGCCCTTTTTATCAATGAACTAGACAATTCTTAGAATTAGTATTGCAAATTATATGTAAACACTTTCAAAGTTTGCGCATAAAAACTACACGCTGAACCATTTATGTTTAGTAATAATTAAGAAATCTTAAAAGCCCAAGTTGTTGATAAATGAACATTGCTTGCTTGTTTTGGATAATCAAGGACTATTTACGCTAGCTGTTTCTGATTTTCAACAGATAGACTAGAGGAAAAGTAACTAGTCAAAGCATCCATCACCAACTCTTGAGCTACTCTAATCGAATAATGAATTTGACCGCTACTTTTATAGCGCACTCATAGCTCCAAAGTGAACCTTAAAAGTTTGTTAAAGCATATGGTTGTTGTGAATATTGCAACAGTCATCTTTAGGTATAATGATAAATTTAACCAATCACAACCTGCAAAAATCAAAACCAACGTTTATATGTACGAAATAGAAATTAAATTTTGGTGTTTACAAAAGTTTTATTTTAAGTAACATGATAGTTTCTTATCTCGAATTTAGATATCCATTAAGATATTCCCGATGACTCAATAGTGCATTTGTGGGCTTATAACGCTAAAATTCGGGATTTGATCCCTAAGGTGCTCCTAAAAGAAAGAAAGAAACCGTTATACTATATTTTGTAACATATACCTGTTTCTTCGTTATACGAAAGAACAGCTGTCATAGAACCACATGTTAAACCAGTACAGAATTATCCTGTTTCTGCAATGTCCGTTACAACCATGTGTATACGATGCTAAATCATATTAAAATTTGTATATTGTTTGGAAATCATAAAGATATATTTTATTTATTATGTATCTTATTCTTATGTATACATGTGTATATATGACACATGTGATGGGCAAAATAGTTTATGATATTCGTTAATGTTACAAATTTTCATAAAAACCCGTATATATATATATATATCTAAAATCTGAAGTTAACTTATTATAAAGTATGAAGGTGGTTTTCATTTCCACGCAGTATATGATGAAAACTATACATCTTAAAGTCGGATCTTTTTACGCGAATTATCTGAGGAGATGCTTAAAATATGAGAAAGGCTTCATTTAGACGTATAAAGAATAATAATTTGTGTGGGCGTAAGAAACAACTCCTTTGTTACGTGCTTTAAATGAGGATAAATTTCCCAGAAATATGCCTTTGAGGAGGAATTATTTTTAGTTATTAGAAATTGCCTTAAATCATGAACCTATTTAGGCAGTTGTGAATTTTAAACGTACTAATCGTTTTTAATAAAAAGTTGAAGTTTTTAATTTCTTGAATGATATACATATATATATATATATATATGTATATACATATATCATTTTCAAGTAAATGTGAGAACGTAACATATGTTATTTAAATGTTTTTGTTTTATTTTATTCGTTTTATATATATATATATTCTTTTATTTCAATATTTTAAGTTGAAGAATTCCAGGATTGCCTCACTATCCGGAAGAGAGCGCAGAAAAACCCAGATAACAGTCTTTACATTCCTCGTTGCAAGAAACGAAATGGCCTGTATAAAGATATTCAGTGTTTCAAGCCCAGGAACAAGCCGGCGACATGTTGGTGTGTTAGACCTAAGAACGGCAAACCAATTCCGAGGACTACAACTCACGGCAGCCGCCCACCCTGTAGAAAGATGAGGAAAATGTCCAAAAAATTTAAAGGTAAACGAGTAAGAATGACTTGAACTTATAAAAACTTGTATATTTTACCAACATATTCACTAACTTATATTAAAAGAATGTCAACTTAAAGGTAATATTAATATAAGAGCGATAGTTCAAGGTTACATAGGCGTAGCTAAATATGTGTTAGGGAACTGAAGCCCCAACTTCAACTTTTTAAATAAAAATTAATAAAAAAATTTGAATTGAAATAACCCGTACAGAATTTTATGAATTCGAGATTTAATAGAGTTTATAGTTATGTAAGGTATACATAATATTTAAAATTGTAATGTTTTATAAATACTGGGACTTTCAGTCGACGTCAGTAATATGGAGAAATACGTTTGTTTGAAGTTAAGCACAAAGCTACACACCACGAAACCCGGTTTCTAGCGATGTAAGTCCGCAGAAATACTCATGTGCCACTGGGGGGCGGAGAAATATGAAATTATATTTTTGCATATGTAGCTGATATAAACATTTTTTACACAAGTAATGTACTTCACTTATCAGGGTTCATGTTTATACTTTTCAAATATAAATTTATATTTGTGTCCTTTATAAAGAATATGATTTGTTTTTATTGATGTAAGTAAGTGGTTTGTATTTAAACATATCAAATATATATATATATGGGACCTATAGCTGTAACGTTTGAGCAAGTATTGCCGAATCGTACCTAGCCACTCATACGATTGCTTGTTTGTTGTTAGGCGCAAAGCAGCACAATATACTATCTGTGTTATGCCCATTGCGGGGATCAAACCTGGACTTTTAACGTTATTAGCTCTCAAGCTTACCGCTGAGCCACTGGGGAGACTCGCCTTAAGTTAGTTGATCCACTCTTAAATCTCTTCTATGTGGATAACGTTTGATTGCAAAACTCGATCTATCAACAGTCTATTCACATATACACACACACAAAAACAGATGAAAAATGTTAAAAAAGTATACTGCTCTTGGACGACTAATATTTACTCCAACCTTTACATATAGAAGGTATACATATAACCTTTACAGTGTAGTGCGTACACCTATACCCATCGCGTAAGTTAAGCATGACTTAGAGTTGTATATATCAACATTCTTAAAGTATTAATACATTGTACGTATTAGGCTCTAACCTAATATAGAGTTGGGTAACAGCTTGAACTCAGTGTGCTATAGACACAGATGATTCCTAGCTTATTTAATTATAGCTCATTCTTTGAAGAGTATGATCAGCATTTGAACCGTAGGAGTTAACAGAGGAATGCTGTGGTGAATGGGTTGATACAATTAATTTTAAAGATGCTCAATCGAAATGCAGATTTGGTGACTTGTGATTCACTAGTTGTGAAGATAAATGAAGTCACTCTCTTGCTTTCTGAACCAATATCGTGTAATACGAGCGTGGTAGATTGTCTGCACTATCATTTTGGAAAACCCTTGTTCGTTATGGTGAAGCTTTTACATTGTGAGATGCTATGATTAAAAACAACGTTCAGTTACACTCTGGATGCTATTCGCCTTTTTTTAAAGGAATTAAAGGACACAAACTTTTTGACAAAAAAAAAAATTCCCACAAACGTAAGGTGAAATGCTCATGTGGATTTTTCCCCCATAGTTTTTACGTCAATACAGAAAAGGGTGAAATGTGGCTCATTAAGTCATATCAACACTTTTACTCACAGATTGTACTTTAATCACCACTGAAGTTTGTGCTTGAGATAAATGATTTTTGAACTGGTTTTCAAATGCATTTGATAGTTTTTGCAATGTTCTTTTCTATTAGTCCAAACCTGACCAATGTTAAAGAATCGGTCAATAGGGACACGCTCTGATACCTGTTGCAATTTCACAAACCTATTTAGTCATATATTCCCACGGTTTTTAACTAGCGGTTGGAAGACCACGATTTTTCTTTTCGATTGTTACTGTTCATAGACTATAAGGAGAAGTTATTTGAACAGCCAGTCAAAGAAATGGCCTTTGATAATAACTTTATGTCAAACGATCTCTTTGCTGTCATGGTACTCTGAAAATCTGAAAAATTCTTTGCTTTATCCATTATCTTGCAGACTGATCATGATATGGCCACATCCCAGCATTAAAAGAGCTGAACCAACCATCTGATACATGAACAATCTATTTTACTTATACAAATAAATTCAATATTCTATAAATATGTATGTGTAGGATTAGCCATGTCAAAATGACCAATCTATGAGCTTAAAACGTTATTTATCCAATTAGCTGGGTTGGTACAGGATGTATACTTATATCTTATAAGTAATAATATGGTATGTAAGTAAATAACTTTGTTGTATATTTAGTTGTTGTTTTGTAAAACAAACTACACCAGTGGTATTTTATAAATATGAGCGTGCTCTTGATCTGAATTTTGAATAAACAAGCACTAACCGGAATACATATTTGATCAATAAGCCATAGATTCGGGGGAAGTCTTTTGTTGTTAAACAGGGAATGACTCCACGCAAAGTTCTCCCATTAAAGACGTGAAGCTCCATAAAAGATAATTCACCTTGCCTGGCTTATGAACGCTATTATTGCCCGAAAGTGCATTCTTCCTTTAGCCATATTAATACAATGTTTGGGAAGTTATAAAAGTACTTCAAAACTAGATCTTTGAATTGATAAAGACTTGGCTCTGAAGTATGGAGTGCTAATAACTGATAATTAATTAAGAGGGAGCAACAATTTTTGTTGTTAAGCGCAAAGCTACCAAATGGAATATTTGTACTGTGTCTACGACAGATATGAAATCCGGTGTTTAGCGTTATATGCCATCAGGTTTACCGCAGTGTCACTGGAGCAATAACTTGTAATAAAGTAATAAACACACATTTGTGTGCATACTTTAAAAACATAACTAAAGTACTTAAAGGCAATGATTTCACATTACAGTATATCACGGTGGGTCAGGAGTGACCTAATGGTTAGCGTACCTAAACTGTGAAAGCGAGAGTTCACGACTCAAAATCATGCTTCGCACTTTGGAACTGTGGGTGCGTTATAAGAGTGGTGATCAAATCCTACTATTTACCAGACGAGAGCAATCTAAGAATTGCCGGTGGGTATTGTTAATTAGCTGTCTTCCCTCAAGTTTATCAGTTCACAATTAAGGAAATAGCTGTTGTATGTCTTTGCGCGAGACCTTGATAAAAAGCTAATCTTACAAATTTCGGACCGGAGTATTTGAAACTATTTGACGTTATATTCAATATTCAGATACACAAATGGTAGTTATTTCAGTTTACTATCTGGCGTCATTTGGAAGAATCGTTGCACCAGCTTCATCAATATTAATAGAAAATTATTATACTTCCAACTGGTTCTGGTTTGTTTGTTTCAAAATTTTGTGCTTTTAGTCGTCCCTAATATTGAACTTATAAACTAAAGAGAATGCAGCTAGTCAACAGCACATATCAACTCTTGGACTCCGCGAATCTTACAATGCACTTAAGACCTCAAAGTGCGTTGTTGAGACAACGAAGCGCGAACCATCACCCCTTATATTTACATTTTAAGCAACTAACCACTAGGCTATGTCCGACTCGTTTAGAAAGAAAGCATAAGCAACATTTATTCAGTTTTTTTTTGCGTAACATTAGTGGTATTATATAAAAATAAAGGAAGCTATCAACACTGTTTTAGAGAGAAAAAACTACTAGCATGTATTTTAAAGAATCTGGTTGGTTCTGTAAAGTAAAGGTTCGTTCCAAATAACAGGGTTTCAGTCCTGAAGCTAATGTGAGTTACTATCTTATTTGCTGTGGTTTGTTGGTGTGTATTGAAAAAAAGTCATGATATATTTTCAAAAACAAGTGCGGCCGAAAAATGACTAAGCGTGCGACTTAAAGGAATGAAATCAAAATTGATGGCCAAACTGGTAGCTATACTTTTAGGATTGATAAGAATTTTGCAGCAAATATTCATTCTTTAGTTAGCTGGGCCACGTATTTTGTTGTACCAATTATCATGCCCCAAGTAGAACACCTAAGGTGTTTTTTATTAGTTATGATTTATACGGATGTAGCTAATGCAAATTATAAAGTTGTTATAAGTGATATTTTGTTGTGGTTACCTCATAGTAAACTCTATATCGATCAAGAAGTTAATATAATAGTTTTACTCTAAAACCTAATAATTTAAATAATTGATATTGAAATCAATCTGGGTGGTGTAAGAGTTATTAAAAGTAATGTTCAGAATGGATCAGGTGGTAAGTGTATTGTAAACACTACAAGCGATGAAATTAGACACATTTATGTTGTTCCCAGTTTCAAGATAAGGAAAATAATCAAAACGAAAACAATATGATTTTTGATAATCTTGATATGCTAAGAACGTGAGTTAGAATTAATAATGATAAATACCCTACTGAAGACTATAGTGTTTCGTTTAAAGCTGGAGGATTAGATTATTCTAGATATTACTCAGAATTTTTAGCAGCTGGGCTAAATAATAATAATAATACCGAAACTGGATGTTTAGGAAACTATACCAATTAAGGAAGATTATATCTGATAGTATGTTTTAACGTTTTGAACCACCTTTCCTATAATAATGTGCCTAATTTGAAGATTGAATTTTTCTGGCAACCGAGACAAACTTCAGCAAAACGGTATATATTTTATTTTTTATTAGTTGAGAAGAGAAAAGGAATACTTAGTGTTTATAACAAAAGGTTCGAAACTATGAGACCTCTTTAGTAATAAAAAATGAGTTATTGGTTTCCACATGGTAATCTATATAAGGAATCATCTCAGGATCCTATAGGTCCTCCTGGAAACGGTTTTAAATTAACTAATGATGGTAATTATGATATTGATAATAATCAATTAAAGAATTTTAAAGATGTAGCTGATAACAATGATGCTGTTAATTCATCGCTAATGGTTAATAAAACCAAAATCGATGATCAATCTCTGAATAATATCCATAAAAGAAATACATATGGCTTATATGTACTCAAAAGATTGTTATTAATCAATAATTTTGATGCTGATAATATAAGTATTAAAATGTTTTGAAACCAAACCAAGATTTTGATGCAGCCAACAAAATGTATGTAGAAAAAATGTTGACGAATTTGAAGAATTAAATAAAACATTAGAAACTAATATAAGTGAATTAGAAAGAAATTCGATAGAGTCAATTGATAACATTAATTTGAGTATTAATGCTTTTAATACAGAAACTGCAAATAAAATACCATATTTGGAAAATAATTCCTTAATAGGAAATTTTGCAAAAAATAATAAAATTATAAATCTTGGTTATCTTTCTGTAGAAACCGATGTTGCCACTAAATTTTATGTGGATAATATGAATAGAAGTTTTACATTCTATGCTTTTGGAATTTTGGTGAATAATAATAATATCCGTATTATAAGATATGTTTTGAAAAATGATTGTAGGATTTGAAAAATGAATGTCAAGGTTTTGTTTTATATTAACCCTCATAAGCACATTTTTGAAAAGTTACGTTATGGAACACCTGGGGTCCAACCGGACTCCAGCACAAAACTACCATTATAGTAAGCTCTGGATTGAAATTGCAAAAAATGAATTGCATTACAACTTTTATTAGGGTTAGCATGCAATGTGAACAACATAAAAATGTATGTATTCTAGAGGAAATTATAAAATTATATTGTTCATCAGTATACAAATTAGTAGTATTAAACCATTCCTTATACAAACAGTGTATGAAAAGCAAAATGCCGAAGTTTTAACAAACTCCTATACTCAAGTCATTATCCACCAATATATGATGAAATTACCACAATACTATAAATTTTAACTCAACGAAAATTGAAAGTGTACATTGTGGGTTACCTTAGGTCCGACCAGACCCCAACACAAATGTATCCTTATAGTAGGCTATGGATTGAAAAGTCAATTATCAAACAAGGTTTCTATAAAATAGGGCGTTATAAGCATCCATCACACAGAACACTTGTTGAAGAATGAGATGCACATATATGCTTACTACAATGATGTTACAGGCAAACAGACGAGATGATACTGTATTGCTTTGATGAATTATCCTCTACAACGGACTATATAGTAAAATATACGTTTAGAAATTTGTTTTGTATGCTATAGGGTGAATTTCATGTATAGTGATGGTTAATGATAGTATGGGGGTCCAAGTGAATCCTAGATAAATATTAGATTATAGCTATGTGCTCCGTCTGCCTGTTTCGAAAACAATAGTATCATATTGGTTCAGAGTTTCTGCTTAATAATAACATGAATTGATATTTAATTTGTAATGATTATGTAAAAAGATATCAACCAAGAAAGTCGTTGTGTTCCATGTGGGACCCAGGTGTGCAATAATGAAATAGGACTATTTCAACTTAAGGCTGATACTTATTCAACAAAACTTATTTATAGTATAGCTTCTAAAAATGATGAGATTGAGATAATTCCTTTTACTGAAAATCTACCCGACAGTTCACATGTATTTATAGAGGTTCGTAAATTTATGGGTTGCAAGTGAAAACTTTTACCATATTTTCGATTACTATTGTTTATTTGGGCAGAAATTTTTTTATAAACTATGAATCTAGTAAAAAGTAAAAAACATGAAATATATTCTATTCAAGTTAATAAGAAAGCATTAAGCCCGAATGATGATAATATATATATATATTACGAGTTGGTATTAATACTTTAGTATTAGGCCATTTTTTTCTCGTATATAAATGGAAGCAGTAAATAAATTTAACGCTATGAGTACACTTCAATATAATATTGAATCTCATAATTTGGGTGAGCTAGATGATGGTGCTCTATCTCTGAATTAAAAATAATTGAAACTCGGTTTGGTGATAGAATTGTAGCTGTGCTAATGAATGATAACTGGGACGAATTCCAAATATTTTTACCTGATCCATTTAATAAAATATTAACAGAGGAAGATATTGAGGATATGAATAAACAGAAAGATCTAACTTTCATATACTGAGGAATGAAAGATTGCGGAAATAATAAAAGAACTTATATAATTGAATTTAGGTCTTCAAAATAAACGAATATTTTTAAAATTTTTATACTTCTAAAAGATGTTGTTTAATTATTTACAACATACATTTGATGTTTATTATTATAGTAGTATATTATTGTAGCATGGTTGTAGTATAGATGTGAGGTTTTTGCGTTACCTGGAGGGAATCAAACCATTTTTCGCTTTCGCTTTCCTCTGATGGGGATGCACAATTAGGTAGGGCAACGAAACCTTTTTCGATTGGTTTTTTTTTTGTTGTTGTTGTTTATTTTTGGCGATTTTTGATTGTTTTTAAAATTTTGCATTGTTGGATATGTTTACCTCTAAGTGAGTTAAAAGCCCTATATTATATGCTATTCTGAGATATTTTTTTACTTACACAGGATGACATTAATAAATGTACCCAATTTTTTATCTTGATATTAATGCAAACCCTATAACTAACAGTGAGTATTCTATATTTTGTCTTGCATATTTATAGCAACATTTTGAATATTTAGAAAGATGTCATCACATAAGTTGTTTGGAACTGCATTTGAAAACTGACATAGATTATGAATATTTAGAAAGATGTCATCACATAAGTTGTTTGGAACTGCATTTGAAAATTGACATAAATTATGAGCATAAGAAATAAACATGGGATCTACAAACTAGTTTAGTTTAATGTTTAGACTTTTTGTTTATAGCTACACATAACCGTTCTTAATTTTGAACTCATAAACTAGAGGGAAAGCAACTAGTCTAAAAACCCACCACCAACTCTTGCCTGATAGAATAATTGATTAGACCAATAATGTTATAGTGCAACTGCTGCCCCAAAGTATGGAACCCATATTTTACGACATCGGAACGAAAACCATAATTCTCGGTTCACAGTTCGGGCATGGTAACCACAAGCCACACCCGGTCTGCTCTACTTGTTCAACTAACTATTCTTCCTGTCAAGAGTCAGTCCTGAATATCTGAATAATGTTATGTATCTGAATGAAGCTTACTCTGGACAATGATGTATCCTTTTCTGATGAGGAACCTTTGGAACTTGCAGTGGACATGTGTCCTGGGGTAAAACTTTGCGAATTTGTTTCTCCTGTACGATTTTAAAGTTAAACTGTCGTTAGCTTGCGACTGTTGTCTTTCTTGATAGCTTGTTTTTATCGGAAATCAATGATAATTATATATTATGCTCCATCCTTAGAAGAAAATAATATAAATTACTCAAGGTACATATACATCTCAAGCCATTGTTTTTCTTTCTTTTACAAGATATTATACTTCACATAAATGCAGCATGACTTAGATTTTGAAAACTCCTTTATTATTTTATACATAGAAAATTTAAGCTTTAAGATCAGAGGTCGTCAGTGTGTTTCCATAAGCAAATGGTAATGCTTTTGTGTACAATTATTTTTTTCAGGTTGTCGAATTAGGAAAAAACAAAACTTCTTATCAGAATTTCTTGACTTCATTACACAAGAAATGTTGGATTCTGCAAGAGACATGTCACTAAGGTAAGTTGTATTTCATTATCAAGAACTACAGCAGGTGAAGAAACATATCGATAGGGTAAGTTAGATTTGATTACGAACAACAATAATAGTAGAAAAAACATGACGATAAGGTGGGTTATAGTAGCTTGTCAAGAACTACAATAGAAGAATAAACATTTCGCGAGGGTTAATTAAATATGATAGCCAAGAACTACAAAAGGAGAAGAAAAATGTCGCTTAGATAAGTTGGGTTAGATATTTAACAAATACAAAAGGAGAAGAAACATTTCACTAAGGTAGATTAGCTATGACTACTAGGAACTACAATAAGAGAAAACATGTCGCTAAGTTTGGTTAGATTGGACATATAAAAACTATAACAGGGAAGTAACACGTTATTGACATATGTTAGGTTACACTATGAAGAACTACAATATGATAAGAAATATACTTTTAAGGTTAGTTATATTTGATTGTCAAGACCTAAACATGAAAAGAAATATGTCGCTAAGAAAAATTAGATTTGATAACCAAGAATTAAAACAGTAGAAGAAACCTGTTGGTAATATGGGTTAGATCAGATTATTAAGAGCTACAATAGAAGAAGAAACACGTCACTGAGGTGGGTTACACGACATTGAACTATTATAGGAAGAGAAACTTATCGCTAAGGTGGATTAGATTAGAATGTCAAGAACTACAATAGGAGAAGAAATAGGTCGCTGAGATATGTTAGATTAGATTGATAAGAACTATAATTGAAGAAGAAAAATGTTGCTAAAGTGGATTAAATGAGATTGTAAAGGACTAGAATAGGAAGAAAGACATGTCGCTAAGGTGTGTTATATTAAATTACAACTAAATACATTAGGAGAATAAACATGTCGGTAAGGTGAATTAGGTTTTACTCCAAGAACTACAAAAGGAGGAAAACCATGACGTTAAGATGGGTTAGATAAGATTAAAGAACTACAACGCGAGAAGAAATACATCTCAAAGGCTGGTTACATTTCCTTATCAAGAACTACTGCAGGAGAAGAAACAGGTTTCTAATATGGGTTTGATTAGATTGTTCAGAATTACGATATGAAAAGAAATATGTCATTGAGATAAGTTAGATTAAATTGCCAAGGCGTACAATAGGAAAAGAATTATATCGTGGAGGTGGATAAGATTAAATTGTCAATAACTAAAATAAAAGAACAAACATATCGCTAAGGTGGGTTACATTACATTGTCAAGAGTTACAATGGGGAAATAAGCATGTACCTAAGATGGGATGGATCAGATTGTCAAGAGCTACAATTGGAGAAGAAGCATGTCGCTGAGATTGTTTGCTTGTTTGAAGATAAGCACAAAGCTGCACAGTGGGCTATCTGTGCTCTGCCCACCACGGGTATCGAAACTCTGTTTCTAGCGTCCGCAGAAATACCACTGTGCCAAGTGGTTTGAGCGGTTTCGAATTCTCGTCCCACCAAACATGCTCGCCGTTTCAGCCGTGAGGGAGTTATAATGTGACAGTCAATCACAAAGAGTAAAAAGGGTTGGTGAAAGAGTTGGCGGTAGGTGAAAACTAAACATGTCTCCAAACTGAATCAGATATGATAACAAGAACTACAAGATGAGAATAAACATGTTTCTATGATAGGCCGGATTAAAATGACAAGAACTACAATAGAAGAAATGCCTCGCGGAAGTAGGTTAGATTAGATTATGAAGAACTACAATAATGAAAGAAATATATCGCTAAGGTTCTCACATTTGTCTGTCAAGAACTACAACAGGAGAAGAAATTTGTTGCTAAAGCGAATTGTATATGATTACCAAGAACTACAAGAGAAAAAACACGTCGCTGAGCTAGTTTTATTAGATTGTCAAAACCTAGAATGGGAGAATAAATATATCACTAGGGTAAGTTATATTAGGTTGTATAAAAGGCTAAAAACTACAAGCTTAATGGGTTACATTAGATTGTCTAGAACTACAACAGAGGAAGAAACGTGTCGCTAAGTTGGGTTATATTAGATTATCAAGAACTACAACATGTCGCTAAATTGAATAGTATTTGATAACAAGAACTGAGGAGAAGAATCACATCGCTGACTTGCAGTGCCGTAGCTAGTGTACGGCGGAAGTAGCACTTACCCACGGCGCAGTCCAAGCGCTAAGCTTGTATTGCCATAATTTTTGTAGGACTATACTGACTGGAGGGAAAATAGAAAAACCATTTAAACTTATCATCTGAATTAAGCAAGATAACTAGCTATATTTAGTATGGTATGGTACTTAAGTTCCCGCCTTCACTCCTTGTTCTTCAACTACGTCGCCTCGTTCTTATGTTATAACATATATCATAATTATTTTTATACTAGCGAAAGTACCCGGCTTCGCCAGGGTTATTAGATTAATATATTCTAGATAAAAGCCAGTGTGTGTGTCGCGTCACGTTACGCTTGGTTTCTCGAGATAAGAGGAGTCATAAAAGCCAAAATGCATTTATCCAGATAAAATAGTTACGATTTTAGTGACGAGGGTGCAAGGGGCCGTGAAGGGAGTTGCCATGAAACCTTGTTAAGTTTAGTGAATGTTGGTATGATTTAAAGAAATTAATAAATAAGCCTAAAGCAAAGACACAGTGTGAGATAACCTAGCCTAGAGCCAAGCGCATAAAATCTATCATGAAAGCAAAAATATAGATCCAATTTTTAAATTTAAATCTTTCTGAATTTTAATCAACGGAGGCTCTAAATTAAGAAATCAACAAATATTTTTTTCAATTTTGTAGTTTATACATTTCATTTTATATTTTTAGTACATAGACTAACAACAATATTAGGATATACTTTTGTTGCTGAGCAATATGTTTGTTTGTGATTAAACACAAAGCTACACAATGGACTATCTGTGCTCTGCCCACCACGGGTATCGAAACCCGGATTCTAACGTTGTAAGTCCGCAGACATACCGCTGTGCCACTGGGGGGGGGGCGCTAAGCAATATGACATAAAAGCCATTGTTGAAACGCATCGTTAACAAAACACACTGGCTTTTCTATATATCAGATGTTGTTATATAAGGAACCACTTCTTTTCTATGTGGTTTTTCGCTAGATTGCCTCATTAGGTTAGGTAAGATAAGAAATACCCAGGTGCACACCCTCAGGGTCCACTTAGTATGGGTGCAAAATTTCAGGTTTCTAGGTTCTTTCCTCTTGGACCTATGGCGGTCAAACACACACAGATACGCCCTTATATTATTATAGATTTTCTGGTGTTAGGGTTTTAAGAAAAAGGATAAATAGAGCTAGAGAAATAGCATATCCAATGTTCCTGGACATCTTAAAAGGCTGCTGGCTGCCAAACAGTATAGAAAGCATGCTCGACAGAGTAATCGGGTTTTTAACTATCATTGCTATAAAGTCAAGTAAAAACTGAGATTTGTTGCAATTAAATGCGGAACATTGATTTGTTCCGTAATTCATTTTTGTTGTAGTAATTATCTTTAAAATATATATATTAACTATCATATGTTATGAAAACACCTAATTTTGATGGAATAACGACTATGAGTAACAAATTTGTTCTGCAAGGATGTATGCCGTGAAAAGGTTAGGCAAACCTAAAGTTCAGTTACACTATATGGAACCTCCGCAGAACGACCGACCGACATGCATGGGTCACGAAGAAGGGGGGGGGGAGTGCAGTTCGTGAAACTTGCTCTGTCTACGGCTTTGCTGACTTGGGTTAGATTGTATTGTCAAGAACTACAATAGTAAAAGAAATATATTGCTAAGAGTGTTACATTTGACTGTCAAAAATATAACAGGAAAGGAATCGTGTCGCTAAAGAGAATTCTATTTAATTGCCAAAAACTATAACAAAAGAAGAAATACGTCACTGAAGTGGCTTAGGTTAGAACGTCAAGAACCACAATAGCAGAAGAAACATGTCACTAAGGTGGGCTAGATTAGACTATGAAGAACTACAGTATATGAAGAAACATGTAACTATATGAGTTAGTTGTGATTATCAAGAATTACAACAGCAGAAAAAACATTTCGTTGAAGTGGGTTAGATTAGATTGTCAACAACTACAATAGGAGAAGAAACAGTCCGCTAAGTTTGGTTAGATTAGATTGCCAAGAACTATATTTGAAGAAACGTATCATTAAGGTGGGTTAAGTTTTCTCCTCAACAAATACAGCAGAAGAAACATGTCTCTAAAGAATGTTACATCAAATTGTCAAGAACTACAAGAGGAGGAGAAATATACCGCGTTGGTAGATTTGATTGGATTTTCAACAACTACAACAGGAGAAGAAACATGTTGCTAAGGTGGGTTAGAGTAGATTGTCAAGAATTATAATAGTAGAAGGAACATGCCGCTAAGGAGAGTTATTATCGGAGTTAAAGAACAACAACAGAATAAAAAGAATCTCGCTGAGTTAAATCATTTGGAAAAAACTTCAAGGAAAAAGAAACATCTCTAAGGTGAGTTACATTCAAGAGTGAAAAACTACAACAGGAGAAGGATCATGTCACTGAGGTGTTTTAGATTTAATAGTGAAGAACTACTACAGGAGTTGGCCCGGCATGGCCAGGTGGTTAAGACGCTAGACTCGCAATCTGCGGGTCGCGGGTTCGCATCCCCATTCCACCAAACATGTTCGCCCTTTCAGCCGTAGGGGCGTTATAATGTGACGGTCAATCCCAC